GACGTCAGTATATGAACGGATAGTCCGAAATCGGTGTTTTCGGTGGTTTTAAAAGATAAAAATCATCTTTTTGAATGTGAAATCTGGTTTTTGTCACGATAAGTGACAGACGTGATATTTTTTTTATGGATTACCCCCGAAACCCACAGTTATCCAAGGGATGACGGGTAGTCTAGTATACTACTAAAACTCAAGTTTGTTTACATAATGGAAATAATTTTTTTGTTTTGTTTTTTTGTTTGTCTGATTGAATACTGGAGAGAATCTGCTCTATGTGGAGTGCTGTAAAATAGTATATACAGTATATAGGTAAAGAACAATTTTTGTTTTCAGACAGACTGTTAATCACAAATTTATTTGAAGACGTTTATTAATTAATTGATTTATTCATAGTTAGATTAACCACATCAATTTTAAAAGTTTAAAACATTGACTTAACTTTGTGAGAATAGTGACGTCACATGATTTGTTTACTTTTTAGTACAATAAATGGCGACTTCAATCCAAGATTTATTTGCCGATTCAGATGTTTAACGCATTCTTAAACTAAATTTCTGTCGGCTATAACTTTAACAATACGTCCGTTTGCTATTTTTAGTACGTTTCAACACTATTATCAATGTTGTAACACTTTTTTTTAATTTTATTATACAATACATTTAATTTGAAATTATTCTAGATCTAATTCTAGGGCTGATTCGCGTAGATTGTTACGCCACTTAAAAGTAAAATTTATAAGTTATTAACTTCTCGAGAGTACGAGGCTAGATATGTAAGAGGTTAGCACATTAGGTTACCATGCGGGTGGCACGGGTTCTAGACATGCCAGTGTTTTTTTGTTTTTAGTTGTAAATGATAATGTTGCCTTTGCCTATTGGAACTTAGCGGGATACAGAGCAGTTGAAGTAGAGTTCACCTGTTTCTTTGTCCTCAGTATATGACGTGGATAGTGTCGTCAGAGCCATGCTCAGCCGGAATCTTTTTTTTTTTTAAGATAAAACATGTTGTCGCAGACTTGGCGGAACACTGGGCCAAAATCTGTGTTTTCACAGACAAAAACATGTCTGAGTTGGGAGGACACTGGGTTGGTGAAGTAGAGTTGACCTGTTTTTGTGACTTCAGCATATGAAAAGATTATGTTGTCAGACCCATGCTCAGACGAAGTCAGTGTTTTTAAAAGACGAAAACGTCTGAGGTATGACGCCTTTTTAAATGTGGGGGTCTGGTTATTTTGTGATGATAAGTGACAGACGTGATGTCATTTATGGATGACCCCCAAAAACCCACAGTTATCTAACTAGATAACGGGTAGTCTAGTAGTTATATATAATTTGAAATAAATAGATTTAAATATGAAATCATATTTATTCAAATAAAAACACACACATGTTTCGCAGAAAAAATATTAACGTATTTTATCTAGCTCTGCTAGAAAAATAAAATCAGTAATCTAATTATATAACTTTAATTATTGAATACTATTTATAATAGTTTGGCCTTGCATGCCTTGTGAAAGTTTGTTTAAACCTGGCTCATAACTTGTTTTCAGTTTCAAGCGCGCACTAAGCTAGTTGGCTTCTATACTTTGTATTATATTCAACCAAGAAAACGCTTGCTCGCATGAATGTTGACCCGAAGATCGTCAGCACTCCAAATGCCAACTTCATCTCACTTTAGCATCCTGGAAGACTATTCCATCCGTCACATAATAGCGCCTCAACCTGTGTTTCTTCAAGACTTTTTTCTCCGAGGGTGCACTTAAAATTTTCGGGAGGGGGGGGGACCATTTTCCGGGGGGGGGGGGCGGACACTGACATAAGTATATACTTCCTATATAAATTCCATTTCGTTCGGGGGGGGGGGGGGGTGGTGCGGTAGACTTTCTTCTGGGGGGGGGGGGGGCTGTGCCCCCCGAAGAGATGCCTGGAAGAAACTCTGACCTCAACTCGCGGCATTTCTTTTAGAGCAGTCCACGGGCAGCGAAACGTGCATGTTTTACTGGACCTCCAAATCTTCTAACTTGCTATTAATATATTATGTGAACTTATCACTCCACACATGTTTTATTTTCAAATCTAGCAATTTCATTTGAACCAGCATCAATTTCAAATAGCTCAAAGTTATTCTCATTTGTTTTTGTATTAAGAAGATCTACCATGAACGCCATAGTACCTGCATTTCTTTTGAATTGCTCAAATATCTCAGTGAACTCATCCTTCATTTTGTTTATAGTAATGATGAGGTAATTCATGTTATTAGGAGCGTTGGTTTTATTACGACATTTTTTTTTCTCGAAATAACGTAATTAAACGCTCTCCGTGTCTTCAACAAAATGAAGTAATTTTTTTTTCCGAAACAAACTTCTTTAAGCAAGGCATATGCTGGGTTTTCCTTTCTTTGCAGTTTTACGTTTAGCTCGTTTAGTTTCTTTGTGATATCCATCTATGAAGTCGAATGTTTCAATTTGGGATAGACAAGTTAATAGGAAGTGCATTGAAACATTCTAATAGAATAGCGAGTGCTTATTGTTTATGTTTATTATTATATCGTTCATTACCGAGTGTTGCAGAACATTGATCGCACAGTTAATTATCAGCTCAGCTCAGTGGCAGAGGCGGGAGGGGGGTGTAAGGTGGGTTACAACCCCCCCCCCCCCCCACCATGGACCCTTCTGTAAAAAAAAACTACTGCTACTTATTTAAATCTATTTCTGAATCAGTATAAACGTGTAATTGAATGTGTATGTTTATAACAGTCAACAAAAAACTGACGCTATATTCACTCTGAGTTGGTTACCCTCCCCCCCCCCCCCACCTCACCACCACAATTGTGTAGAGCGACATTAATGTCACACCTAGGTATACGCTGGGTTGGATAATTGACCTAAAGTGACCGGACAGTGGTGATTGAAGTTGACCCCCCCCCCCAACCCACCCCAAACTAATCAGTTAAATTTGGGAAAACGCTTAATGATGTACCAAAGTACCATGCCGCCAGAATCATAGCTTTTGAAACGTAAATCTCTGTGAATATTGTTTTTGCAATTACCAGTAAAAAGGTGTGTGAGCAATACAGTGATCTAGCACACACCTTATCATTATTTTAAAAACTGATCTTTAAAGAACACAAAAAGTCAGTAGCTAATTAAAAAATGAATGATCTAAAATGCAAGATCGATATTTGAGTTATATATGTAGACTGTTATTTGTATTATATTCTTCTTTTTAGTACATTTATAGAAGCTTGTAATTATAAATGTTTTATTTATTTATTATTCCGAATGTTTTTCTATTGTGTTGAAAAGCTGGATTTTATACCAACTCTGATTTAAAAAACTTTCATTATGCAGTAATACTTTAGCATTAATGATGACAATATATTTAATTCTGATTGTAGACAATATGTTGTTGTAAAAACGAATAGTGTTAAGTTATTTTATTAGATTTTTAAGTAATTATTGATTTATTTTGATATTTATAATTAAATGTGTAGACATATACATATTTAAATGAAGAGAGTGATTATTTCCCCTTTTCGCTTGTCTTAATTAATGTCCCAGGAATTATTATGTAAATTATTTTACAAGGATTATAAAACAGATTATGTTGCGTTCATTGTTTTTGGTGGTAATGTGTGTATATTTTTTGTTTTTTTTTTTAATTTAGTGATACATTTTTTGTTTTGTCGGCCTAAATTGTGTGTTTTTTTAAAAATTTCTTTAGAGTGCTACTTTCAATTTATTTTAGATCATAACGAAGCAATTACAGCTAATATATATATATATATATATATATATATATATATATATATATATATATATATATGTATATACTACCCCGAAATCCTGGATACGCCTCTGATGTAGGACTATATAGCGCTATGACCCTAACGTTACAAACATGTAGGCCTAAAGACCTACTAGTCCGGCTATTTGCAACGTTCTAAAACACAAGTTTTAAAAATGTAATATATGTTTTAAATGTGAGTTTTTCGAAAGGTCGATTAGTTATGTTGTCGCATGTAGCAACACAAATAAGAATGAAAACCGACCCTAGAGTCATGATATATGAGTCAAGCGGACACAAAGGCACACGTTTTACCCTGTGATATGTAGCTGTCATCTCTTTATGTCAGACAAAGTTTATTTAAAGACAGCCCTTCCAACAGTTATAAAACGTCTGTCCTTGCTTCAATTAAAAGTGTTTTTGATTAACCTGGCTTTTAAACCACCACTTTACACATTGTAACGTACACAATATACAATGGAATAACCGCCACGCAACATACGCCTCCCCGTACACCACACAACATATGCCTCCCCGTACACCACACAACATACGCCTCCCCTTACACCACACAACATACGCCTCCCCGTACACCACACAACATACGCCTCCCCGTACACCACACAACATACGCCTCCCCGTACACCACATCACATAAAACACCGCCACATAACATACCTTAAAATTATCCCCCCCCTCACAAAATAACCTAAAATACTCCCCAAAAATAACCCCGCTCCGTACACCATATACCCTAAAATACCCCCCCCCCCACACACACACACGCACACGCAAGATAAAATACAAACCCTGACAATGTATGCATGACTGAAAACAAAAATGGGCGATGTAAAACAAGGTTTAAAGTTTATTCAAAAATACATTGAAATATCTAGCTATGTACACACTATTCATTGGCCACACACGTTATATAGTTTACAGAAAAATGTCAAGAATTAGAAACATAATCGGTCAAACTTGGCAGGACAACGTGCTAACTGGCGAGCTCACAAGAAGTCATAAAGGACGAGCTGACCCAACCTTAAGAACCAATTGCGTATTGGAAAAATCAGAAAATTAATTTAAATGCTCTTAAATGATCAAGGCACCTTATATATATAAATATATATGTATATATATATATATATATATATATATATATATATATATATATATATATATATATATATATATATATATATATATACAGCATATGGCAAAGAGTTTTGTTACCGATTCCGTAGAAAACATAAGACACAATATGAATGACATCGGCTGCGTCGGTTCCTACACCAGAGTTGGCACCAGGTCAGAACAATGTAGTAGACGACGGCTCCTCGACCTGCGGCTCTGGCTCTACAGCGGTGGCGTTGGGAGCAACTTCAGGCGTCTCCAAAAGTTCTTTGACTATTGTGTCGCGTCGAATGTCTGGAGCTGTTGACTCGGCCTTCTGCTCGGGCGGCAGGTTGGATGTGCAGACGTCGGGTTGGGAGTTCAAGGTCGTGTCTGGCGCCACAACTGGGCTGGGCACCACCTCCTTTGGCGTTTTCTGGATGTGCACGAGCTTCGGGACGAAGTAAAGCACGATGACCAGTACATTGTTGGCCAGCACAGCTGATAGGATGGACATGCGCTTCTGGATCTGTAGAGGAAGAGTTTTGACCCCTGTACCTACCAGTTTCGTATCTGACCCCTGTACCCACCAGTTTCTTATCTGACCCCTGTACCCACCAGTTTCTTATCTGACCCCTGAACTCACCAGTTTCTTATCTGACCCCTGAACTCACCATTTTGTTATTTGTAGAGAAGAAAGAAATTGTGAAGCTGATCCAAGTGATGATGTTCGCGTAGACGACAATTCCGATGTAGCGCACCTCCCTGTTGTTAAACGTGAACTTCCGGTTTATGAAGGCCATTATGAAGGCCGTTAGTAGCATGGAACCGTTGTACGAAAAGAAGAAATAGAAGCCAATATCCGACCAGTCACAGGAAAACTCAACGTAGTGCTCTGAAATACGACGGGAGGGGTATTCTATAGGGGGAGGGGTATTCTATAGGGGGAGGGGTATTCTATAGGGGGAGGGGTATTCTATAGGGGGAGGGGTATTCTATAGGGGGAGGGGTATTCTATAGGGGGAGGGGTATTCTATAGGGGGAGGGGTATTCTATATGGGGGAGGGGTATTCTATAGGGGGAGGGGTATTCTATATGGGGGAGGGGTATTCTATAGGGGGTGGGGATGTAGCTAAGATGCCTGGCACATATACACTAGAATGCACAAAAGGTATGTTATCACATGCACACACACCAACACACACACACACCAACCCACATATACACCATGACATACACCATCATACACACAAATAAACATACACCCAGACATACACAAATATGTTTTTTACCCCTTTTAAAAACTTGATAAAGCTTTGGTTTTGGTTGGTAGACTAATGTAATTTCAAAACAGACATACACCTGGAGAATATGAATACACATATATATATATATATGTGTATATATATATAGTATATATATAAATATATATATATATATATATATATATATATATATATATATATATATATATATATATATATATATATATATATATATATATATATATATACATATATATATATATATATATATATATATATATATATATATATATATATATATATATATATAGAGAGAGAGAGAGAGAGAGAGAGAGAGAGAGAGAGAGAGAGGGAGAGAGAGACTTATTACATAACTCATCTTCTAAACCTCTAGTCACAGAAGCTGTATGTACTTTTACCGTCGTCCCCCCACACTCCTCCAACCCCTATTTTACTCCCCCAACCCCTATTTTACTCCCCAAACCCCTATTTTACTCCCCCAACCCCTATTTTACTCACTGACCCCTATTTTACTCCCCCAACCCCTATGGTACTCTCACAACCCCTATTTTACTCCCCCAACCCCTATTTTACTCCCCCAACCCCTATTTTACTCCCCCAACCCCTATTTTACTCCCCAACCCCTATTTTACTCCCCCAACCCCTCTGTTACTCCCACAACCCCTATTGTACTCCCCAACCCCTATTCCCCCCCCTCCGCACCTTTAGATATAAGTCAGAAGGAAACACTGGTAAGATACAATGTGATAGCAGTAATCTATAATAATAGTTTCGCTGTCTGTCTATCTATCTATCTATCTATCTATCTATCTATCTATCTATCTATCTATCTATCTATCTATCTGTCTGTCTGTCTGTCTGTCTGTCTGTCTGTCTGTCTGTCTGTCTGTCTGTCTGTCTGTCTGTCTGTCTGTCTGTCTGTCTGTCTGTCTGTCTGTCTGTCTGTCTGTCTGTCTGTCTGTCTGTCTGTCTGTCTGTCTGTCTGTCTGTCTGTCTGTCTGTCTGTCTGTCTGTCTGTCTGTCTGTCTGTCTGTCTGTCTGTCTGTCTGTCTGTCTGTCTGTCTGTCTGTCTGTCTGTCTGTCTGTCTGTCTGTCTGTCTGTCTGTCTGTCTGTCTGTCTGTCTGTCTGTCTGTCTGTCTGTCTGTCTGTCTGTCTGTCTGTCTGTCTGTCTGTCTGTCTGTCTGTCTGTCTGTCTGTCTGTCTGTCTGTCTGTCTGTCTGTCTGTCTGTCTATCTATCTATCTATCTATCTATCTATCTATCTATCTATCTATCTATCTATCTATCTATCTATCTATCTATCTATCTATCTATCTATCTATCTATCTATCTATCTATCTATCTATCTATCTATCTATCTATCTATCTATCTATCTATCTATCTATCTATCTATCTATCTATCTATCTATCTATCTATCTATCTATCTATCTATCTATCTATCTATCTATCTATCTATCTATCTATCTATCTATCTATCTATCTATCTATCTATCTATCTATCTATCTATCTATCTATCTATCTATCTATCTATCTATCTATCTATCTATCTATCTATCTATCTATCTATCTATCTATCTATCTATCTATCTATCTATCTATCTATCTATCTATCTATCTATCTATCTATCTATCTATCTATCTATCTATCTATCTATCTATCTATCTATCTATCTATCTATCTATCTATCTATCTATCTATCTATCTATCTATCTATCTATCTATCTATCTATCTATCTATCTATCTATCTATCTATCTATCTATCTATCTATCTATCTATCTATCTATCTATCTATCTATCTGTCAAGAACGCTCTAGAGAAAACACAAGGAAAATAAAAACATGCATAGTAATTCGAAAAACGAAGTATGACGTCGACACATTTAGCACAGAGTTGAAAATCATCTCAAACCAGAGAGTGCACACAGTAATATAATGACGTCATTGATTCTGGCGTAAACATTGAATAAAGAGGAAATGTTGTCTAATCTAAGTGGTTTGCGTGAAGAGTTTCTTGCATACGATTCTTCGGGTAGGGGCGAAGCCCCACCCCCCGCGTAAGAACGTCTGAGCCCCCCCCCCCCCTCGGGGAGGGGGCGGACACTGGAAAAAGTATATAATTATATTTCGTTGAATGGGACGGTAGACATGTTTTTTTAGGGGGGGGGTGGGGTGTGGGGGGGGGGGGGGGGAGGTGGGGTGGTTTTAATTTAGACTTTTTCCTCCCCGGAGAGGGGTGGGGGTACTTGAAATTTTCGGTGGCGGGGGGTAGAATTTTCGGGGAGGGGGCGGACACTGGAAAAAGTATATAATTATATTTCGTTGAATGGGACGGTAGACATGTTTTTTTGGGGGGGGGGGGGGGGGTGGGGGGTGGGGGGGGGGGGTGGTGTGTGGGGGGGGTGGTGTGTGGGGGGGGGTGGGGGGGGGGGTGGGGGGGTGGTTTTAGTTTACTTTTTCCTCCCCGGAGAGGGGTGGGGGGTACTTGAAATTTTCGGGGGCGGGGGTAGAATTTTCGGGGAGGGGGCGGACACTGGAAAAAGTATATAATTATATTTCGTTGAATGGGACGGTATACATGTTTTTTTGGGTTGTGGGGGGGTGGGGGGGGGTGTGTGGGGGGGGGTGTGTGTGTGGGTGGGGGGTGGTGTGTGTGGGGGTGGGTGGGGGTGTGTGGGGGGTGGGGTGGGGGTGTGTGGGGGGTGGTTTTAGTTTAGAGAAAAGAGACAGCACTATCAGCCTAGCGCCCGGTGTATCCTTCCTCAACGGGCCATTTTTCTCGTCACTTATATGTTAGGGTTATCTTTTTACTTGAGTTAACGTGAGAAAAATGTCCCCTACTTGTGTTAAGGTGAGAAAAATGTCCCCTACTTGGGTTAAGGTAAGAAAAATGTCCCCTACTTCGGTTAAGGTAAGAAAAATGTCACCTACTTGGGTTAAGGTAAGAAAAATGTCCCCTACTTGGGTAAAGGTAAGAAAAATGTCCCCTACTTGTGTTAAGGTGAGAAAAATGTCCCCTACTTGTATTAAGGTAAGAAAAATGTCCCCTAGTTCACCTGGAGAAGGGCGAGTAGAAGGGAGAATCCAACTTCATAGACCAGCCTTCTGGAGGTCAAAGATATCTTCTCATAATTGAGCAAGTGACAACTCACGACCTAAGAAAGTTGGTTACCAAGTTACACTGGCAGACTACCTATTTAGTCATTCTACCTATTTATTCATTCTACGTATTTAGTCATTCTACATATTTAGTCATTCTACATATTTAGTCATTCTGCATATTTAGTCATTCTGCATATTTAGTCATTACTCCTATTTAGACATTCTACCTATTTATTCATTCTACATATTTAGTCATTCTACCTATTTAGCCATTTTACATATTTAGTCATTCTACATATTTAGTCATTCTGCATATTTAGTCATTACTCCTATTTAGACATTCTACCTATTTATTCATTCTACATATTTAGTCATTCTACATATTTAGTCATTCTACATATTTGGTCATTCTACCTATTTAGTCATTCTACATATTTAGTCATTCTACCCATTTAGTCATTTTACATATTTAATCATTCTACATATTAGCCTTTATACCTTTTAGCCATTCTATTAATTTAGTCATACTACTTATTTAGTCATTCAATATATTTAGTCATTATACCTATTTAGTCATTCAACATATTTAGTCATTCTTCCTATTTAGTCATTCTACCTATTTAGTCATTTTACCTATTTAGTCATTCTACATATTTACTCGTTTTACCTATTTAGTCATTCGACATATTTAGTCATTCTACGTATTTAGTCATTCTACATATTTAGTCATTCTGCATATTTAGTCATTACTCCTATTTAGACATTCTACCTATTTATTCATTCTACATATTTAGTCATTCTACATATTTAGTCATTCTACATATTTAGTCATTCTACCTATTTAGTCATTGAACATATTTAGTCATTCTGCCTATTTAGTCATTCTACATATTTAGTCATTCTACCTATTTAGTCATTTTACATATTTAATCATTCTACATATTAGCCTTTATACCTTTTAGCCATACCTATTTAGTCATACTACTTATTTAGTCATTCAATATATTTAGTCATTCTTCCTATTTAGTCATTCTTCCTATTTAGTCAATCAACACATTTATTCATTTTACCTATTTAGCGATTCTACCTGCTTAGTCATACTACCTATTTAGTCATTCTACATATTTAGTCGTTTTACCTATTTAGTCATTCTACATATTTAGTCTTTCTACCTATTTAGTCTTACTACCTATTTAGCCATTAAACATATTTAGTCGTTTTACCTATTTAGCCATTCTACATATTTAGTCATTCTACCCATTTAGTCATTCTACATATTTAGTCATTCTACATTTTAAGTCATTCTACATATTTAGTCTTTCTACCTATTTCGTCATTCTACACACTTAGTCATTCTGCATATTTAGTCATTCAACATATTTAATCATTCTGCATATCTAGTCATTCTATCTATTTAGACATTCTACCTATTTAGTCATTCAACATATTTAGTCATTCTGCATATTTAGTCATTCTACCTATTTAGACATTCTACCTATTTAGTCATTCTACATATTTAGACATTTTACCTATTTAATCATTCTACCTATTTAGTCATTCAACATATTTAGTCATTCTACATTTTTAGTCATTCTACCTATTTCTACATTCTACACATTCTCAATCCTATGCACATGCACATACGTATTCACACACACACAACTGACAAAGTCCCCACACCCACTTCCACAGCCCCCCCACACACTCACACACATACTCACACAGCCCTAACCACAAACTCACACAGCCCCCCCCCCACACACACAGCCCCCCCCCCCTACAACCCACACAGCCCCCCCCTAAAACCCACACACTCCAATAGCCCCACACACTCACACAGTCCCCCCCCAAAAACCCACACACTCACACAGCCCCCCCTCAAACCCACACAGCCCCCCTAAAACCCACACACGCACACCCCCCCCCCCACACACAGCCCCCACCCACAACCTACACAGCCCCCCCCCCCCCAAACCCATACACTCCCATAGCCCCACACACCCAAACACACTCACACAGCCCCCCCCCCCCACACTCACACAGCCCCCCAAACCCACACACTCCTACAGCCCTCCCCCACACCCACACTTTACCTTAACAAACAGTGAGCCGTTGACTAGTACTATGCTGATACAGAAGGTAAAGAAGGTTGCGGTGCAGCTGAACTCGGTGGGTTCAAGGTTGTTGGACATCGGCACGGTCAGGAAACCTAAGGATGGTCAACAGGAAGTTCTAGAACAACTGACTGGTAGTTAAATTCACCATCTAACAACTGACTGGTAGTTAAATTCACCATCTAACAACTGACAGCCGGTCGCGCTAGACTAAATTTAGTCAGCGCTTATAGAAGCCCACCGTTTCTATAGTGTATCGCACTCATTAAAAGCCCGTATGTGTTACAGAGCTCACTGTGGAGCCTGGCTTGCCAAACCACACCCTCCTGGGGTGCTGAATTTATCATCTTCGAAGAAACCTTCCCAGGCGATCAGATGAAAGTTGTAGTAGTTCAAATCAAATTAAATCAACGCACATACTATTACAATTTTGCTGTGAGATAATTTTATTTGGTCTGAGATGTTTTTCTGAGATCAATTGTCCATGGTATTACTTGTCCTGATATATTTTGTCCTGTTATCTTTTGTCCTGAGATCATTTGTCTGTGAGATATTTTGACTGAGAAATTTTGTCTTAGAAAATATGTCCTGATATATATATATATATATATATATATATATATATATATATATATATATATATATATATATATATATATATATATATATATATATATATATATATATATATATATATATATATATATATATATATAAACTATTTACATACCAGTGCTCCGCCACGGTGAATCATTTTAAGTGTAAAAAAAAAAATTAAACACAACAAAACTAAACACATACACAAAAGAAAACACAAACGCAATGCAAACAGAAATACACACACAATGCAAACACAAATGCAAAAGCAAATGCAAAAAAAACACAAACGAAAACACAAACGCAACACGCAACACGCAAATACTAACACGAACACAAAAGAAAAACAAAAGTAAACACAAACACAAATAATTATCATTAAAAAAAAAATTTTAATTATCATTAAAAAAAAAAAAACCACGTTTTCTGATTGAACTAAAAAGTTTTTTGTTCATTCAATAGGAGGCCAAAAGAGTGAAAGTACCGAACCTTGTTTTTATCAAATTACAATTACTAGGTTATGTCCCTTTTTTGTACAAATCAATAGGAGTCTAAAATGATCAATAAAAATTTTCCATGGATCACTTTAGTAATAATAATAATTGAATATTGTATTGTCATCGGAAACAAAGCTTCCCTGAAAATTTCAGCGCGCTAGCTAACTGGGAAGTGCCCGAAATTTCGATCGCAAGATTTGATGGAAAGACAGACGCGAAAGCAAGTTAAAGAAAACGTGGGGGAAAAAACAGTTGACATAACAAAAGACATCTTTATTCGGAAACGGGAATTCCCACAGGTTATTATGTCTTTTTTTTTGCGCACGAATGGGAATTCGTTTTTGTCTGTCGCACTAACCATGAACGTCGTCTTTTTTTACCAACCATATTACGTACCTATTTTTTAAAACAGACGTTTTACTTGTACATTTTGCAGTGTAAAGTTTTACTACGTTCTTGGTTGTAAAGGCAAGATCTAAGAAACAATTTTTTAAGAGCTATGTTTTTTATTTTTAGCTTCAAAGTTTACATCAGATGACGTGCACCGCAAATATTTAAAAACAAAATCAATAACAGTTAAAAAGCCAGCTCCTAAATTGTTGCTGTTGCATAATTTCGTTTCAAACAGTGCAGTAGACTATGGACAAGAAAGGCTGCTTCAATCTTTAAGTGAATCAAATCCGGGCGTCCTCCGGCGCCCATAGAAGATGCTATTTGTCGCCCCGGGACTCCCCTTCCTTCGTACAAGTGAGTGCAAAAGACTGAATAAGTTGGGGGACTATAGTCGTTTACTGAGCTGAAACAGGCGGTTCTACTGGCGCCCCAATATAGAGCGATTTGGCACCTTAAGCTAGACTGTGAGCACTTTGCGTTTATGTGTGCGTTTGTGTTTGTTTTGTTATGTTTGGGTTGATTTTGCGTTTGATGTTGGGTTTGTGTTTCGTTTGGATTTGGTTTGTTTTCATTTGATTTTTTTGTTTGCGTTTTTGTTTGTGTTTTCTTTGTGTTTGTGTTTGCGTTTGTGTTTGGGTTTGTGTTTGTGTTTGCGTTTACGTTTTAGTTTGTATTTGTGTTTGCGTTTGTGTTATGTTTGTGTTTTGGTTTTTGTTGGTTGTAGTTAGGGTAGGCAATGCCGGGTATATGCTAAATACTAAACACACATGTCACGGTCCTTTACAGATAGGTTTTTTCACAGAGGCCATTGCAGCGCCTGGCCGGGACCGCTAGTTTATATATACAAAGTTGAATTCTGTACGTGTGCGGGCGGGCAGCGGACGGAGCCGTTATTACAAAGAAATATTATTATTTAAATTAATGATATAAAAAAATTAAAATTAAGGTTCTTATAAATAAACTTCATTTTCCAAACTTATAGTATTAATTGACGGCATGTTCATTCAACAAAATTAAAGAAAATGTATCACCCTTCACAAAAATTCTAATTGTGTCTGAAAATTATTTACTTTTAGTCCTTTAGCACTCATTACGTCCCTTGATAAATTAGGAAATACAATTACTTCCCTTTAAAAATACATTACATTGGGGAAGGGGGGGGGGAATTACTTTTAATTACTTTGTTATGGTGTTAGGAAAAAAATAATTACATAAATAGCGTGAATGATCAAGTGCAATGTGGTAGGTATACTGCCTTTTATTTATTTTATACACTGAACATACTGTTTACTAATTATTATTTTAAATCAATAACAGTTCAGAAGCCAGCTCCTAAATGTCCTCTATGTTTACTTCTATCTTTCCGTTTGAGGATAAGCTTGGAGAATTATAGTCGTTCACTAAATTATAGCTGGTGCGTCCGCCGGCGCCACAGCGGGACTCAATATGGCGCCCTGGGCTATCCTGTGAGCGCTATGGCACAAAATTTCGTTTTAAACAGTGTGATAATATTTGGATAAGAAAGGTTACTATAGTCTTTAACTGAATTGAATCCGGGCGTCTTCCGTCGCTCCGACAGGGTGCTATTTGACACCCCGGGCCTTCCCGTGTTTGCTATGGCGCCTACGTTCGTTTAAGTGAGTGCAAAAGACACCTACCTGCGATGGTTGAAACGACCTATTGAGTAAAACAGGTTTCACCTACCTGCGATGGTTGAAGCAACCTATTGAGTAAAACAGGTTTCACCTACCTGCGATGGTTGAAGCAACCTATTGAGTAAAACAGGTTTCACCTACCTGCGATGGTTGAAGCAACCTATTGAGTAAAACAGGTTTCACCTACCTGCGATGGTTGAAGCAACCTATTGAGTAAAACAGGTTTCACCTACCTGCGATGGTTGAAGCAACCTATTGAGTAAAACAGGTTTCACCTACCTGCGATGGTTGAAGCAACCTATTGAGGAAAACAGGTTTCACCTACCTGCGATGGTTGAAGCTATAAGCATGTAGCAGTACACTATGCCGGTGTCACGTACTATATCGTGATTTCTGTTCTGGAACAGCATCACGGCTATAAATAGTAGCGAGACTATGGCGGCGAGGGCCAATATGTTGTAGATTATGAAGAAGAAAAACATATGCTCGTAGTCGTCTGGTGGAATCGATTCGCATATTGTTTGCTGGGGAATAAAATGGTATATAAAATAAAAGTTTCATAAAAAAACGTTTTAAAAACAAACGCTTATGTAATAATGCACTAAAAAGTAGAACATAAATAATACACTACTATTTAAATAACTATAAAGAAAAGCGTGGGTCACTTTATTATTTACTAGCGTACCCGACCCCCGCGCGTTGCCGCGGGGATAGAAGGAGGGTTTCATCCATACGTTACCAAGTTACCAATCCTATATTCTTAGACGCGTAACCTTGTTTTCTAAAAGTGAGTTATTTAAATGTAAACAATGCCTGCGCTTGGATCATAAATACCGGGACACGGGTTTACCTACACTACCGAGTTAAAACCTTATGTGTACATTAATCACTCACCGAAATAATCAGGTAGAACACACTTCGGTGACCACCCATGTGTCAGGGACGTAGAGTGGCGCTCTCGGGAGCACTTCCCCGCGATTACACTACCGCATAGGCGCCACGTACGGCCCCTGGCTCCTCAAAACTAACAGGCGCCATCGTGCCAAATAGCATCATGTTAATAATGATGCAGATTTCGTCATTCGCTAAAGTGACACAAATGAACAGAAATTTTTTCTTTAACACGTAAAAAAATTATTTGACGTGTTTTAAACATCAGTGTGACTGATGCAATATGCTAGCGTTACTAATGGTCTATTATTAGATGCTCGATCTCAATTTCTGACTGGATTGTCTAATAATAGATGCTTATTGCATCATTCGCAAAGTGACGAAACTCTACAGTAGTCTCCTCATATTCAAAAAGTTATTTTTTCATCTTTCGCAAGGTGACGAAACTGTACAGAAGGATTTCCTCGCGTTACAAAGTTATTTTTAGAAGCCTGTTGTAGTTTTACCGCTGAATATAGTAGTACCCCTTACTCGCTATGCAGAACGCTCGATTAACGGATGCCAAGTGCCAACTTAGTCGCTCTAAAACTGTACAGAAGGATTTCCTCGCGTTACAAAGTTATTTTTAGAAGCCTGTTGTAGTTTTACCGCTGAATATAGTAGTACCCCTTACTCGCTATGCAGAACGCTCGATTAACGGATGCCAAGTGCCAACTTAGTCGCTCTAAAACTCTGGGCACCAAACCGTGTATTGACGGAAGTTGTACCCTATATGGCGCCGCCCGTAAGAAACTTTAGTTTTATTTTTCGCAGAAATATTCTCGGGAGTATTCTCATCTACTCCCTAAAGTTTCATGGCACTCGGATGAACCGCATCCGAGTTTTATTTTTTATATACCGTGTATAGAGAAAACAAAACGCTCCCCCCTGGGGGCGCCGCCCTTGCAATATTAAACAGTATTTTTTGCATAACCCTACCATTGAGTGATCTAATCATCTCCCCAAAGTTTCATGGTACACGGATGAACGGTGTGAAACCGACATTTTATAAACCGTATATAGAGAAAAATCGCAGCCGCCCGTGGCGCCGCCCTTAAGAAATAAAAAAAAACGATTTTTTTACAGAACCCTTCCCTGGATTGTTCTAATCAACTCCCCCAAAGTCTCATGGCTATCGGATAACGGTGTCACACCAAAATCGACTTATTTTTATAAACCGTATATAGAGAAAAATCGCACCCTCCCGTGGCGCCGCCCTTGCGAAATTATTATTTTTTTTTTTACAGAACCATTCCCTAGAGTGGTATAATAAACTCCCCAAAGTCTCATGGCTATCGGATGAACGATGCCAAACCAAAATCGACTTTCATTTTTATATACAGTATATAGAAAAAAACAAATCGCGCCCTGCCGGGGCGCCACCCCTGCGAATTTGAAATATTTTTTATCGCAGAAACCTCCCCAGGAATATTCTCAACAACTTCCCAAAGTTTCACGGCGATGTGATGAGAGGTGTAGTAATGCATAAAGGACAGACACACACACACACACAGACATACATTGCTTTATATATATATATATATATATATAGATAGATAGATAGATAGATAGATAGATAGATAGATAGATAGATAGATAGATAGATAGATAGATAGATAGATAGATAGATAGATAGATAGATAGATAGATAGATAGATAGATAGATAGATAGATAGATAGATAGATAGATAGATAGATAGATAGATAGATAGATAGATAGATAGATAGATAGATAGATAGATAGATAGATAGATAGATAGATAGATAGATAGATAGATAGATAGATAGATAGATAGATAGATAGATAGATAGATAGATAGATAGATAGATAGATAGATAGATAGATAGATAGATAGATAGATAGATAGATAGATAGATAGATAGATAGATAGATAGATAGATAGATAGATAGATAGATAGATAGATAGATAGATAGATAGATAGATAGATAGATAGATAGATAGATAGATAGATAGATAGATAGATAGATAGATAGATAGATAGATAGATAGATAGATAGATAGATAGATAGATAGATAGATAGATAGATAGATAGATAGATAGATAGATAGATAGATAGATAGATAGATAGATAGATAGATAGATTGGATACATTTATTAATATTTAGCAAGAGACCAAAGCTTTTCTTTATAGTTATTTAAATAATACAGTATTATAATATATTGAAGGAAATTCATTTATTTTCTACTTCTTAGTACATTATTACAAAAAAGGTTTGTTATTAAAAAGTTTTTTATGACATTTTTTTTCGTCCTTTACATTTTTACTTTCTCGTATACAGAGTATAGAGAAATTATTGTAATCGTGCACATGAAATTTTGACAGTTTTCACAGTTTTACACCGCAGTACTTCATCACATCCGGAGTATAGAGGGGCAAAACTTATAAATCCAGATATATCAAAATGTTTTTTTTTTTGCGTAATCAATTAGGAAAAAACTGGACTGTGCAATTATGTCCGTATGTCCGTATGTCTGTGTGTGTGTATGTCTGTAAACAAGATAACTTGAGTACCGTTACAGCTAGGTTGATGAAATTTCATATATAAGTAATATATCAAATGTGTAGTTCAGTATCAACCTTTCAGCGATTCCGATAACCGGAAGTGGAACTAATACTACTTTCAGTTTTCCAAAACCTTATAACTTGAGTAGGGTAAGGTGGGGTAATTCCACACACGGGGTAATTCCACACACTATATATTGGATACTCTCTATTTTTAATGAGAGTAAAGTTTAATTAAAAGTTACTATTCCCTGTTTCTAAGAGGTCATTTCTTGTACTTTCTGATACTGTTAGAGAAGCGTTCACCTACATTCAGAACAAGAATTTTAATTTTATCTGCATCTATCTTCAAACATCCTTAGGTAAGTACAACCCCTGCACTTTTTAAAAATATTTTTTTTTGTCTTATTTTTAATTGTTGTCAATTATTTATTGATTATATAAAAGCTTAATCATTTTTGTTAATAGTAACAGTTAATGATGCTAGATTCAGCCTTTAATTTAGAACAGGAAAGCATATTTTTTTCAATAGTAGGTGTGGGGCAATTCCACACACATGGTGTGGGGCAATTCCATACACTATAGTTTGGAATGTCCCATGTTGCTTTTTATACTCTTTAGAGGGTTTAGCTATTATTTTAAACCATTTAAACTGGTTGTGGCTAATTCTGGAATTCACAACTCATGATTTAATCTTAAAAAATACTTAAATAGTTCTAGATCTAGTACTATTCATTTTTAAAAAGACTGCTATTAAAGTTAAGTAAAATTGCCACAGACTTATTTTATTTCTTTATCTATTATTATTTTTACTGTACCTATATTATTTATTATAATTTATGCAATATTTAGAGCTAAACATCCCCATAAACACATTAGTAATTACACTTTTTAACATTTAATTTTGTTTTTATTTTAGAATGGTTCACAATTATAAACGAAAAACTTCGGCCTATGACAGATGAGAGCAGAATTCAGGAGGAAGAAATTGAGGCTTTCTCTTCATCTAGTGATGAAGAGTGGTTGCCCCCATGCAAAATTGTTTCCAAGGGGAAAAATGTTTTTTACACATTTTTAAATACATGAATTTTAAAATATTCATAATGTGTGTGGAATTGCCCCACTTGCCATGTTTTTGCAATAAAAGTGAAATATTTAAAAATTGTATTTTATTTTGTGAATTATCTTTATATTTGTTTGCCATCATATAAGTAATGCATGTCTAGTTTTACCCTCAATATTATATTGTGGTAGTGTTGATTTTAGATTTTTTACAATTTTTTTAGAAAAGAAGTGTATGGAATTACCCCGGGTTACCCTACTATTTCAGATAGATAAATGAAATTTCAAATGTAAGTAAAAGATCTAATTTTCTGCCTTCTGTCAAATTTTGAGTAATTTCATTTGAACGGAAGTAGTAATTTACGCTATTTACGATTTCTCAAAAAAAAAATGCATATGAATTTATAAAGCACTAATAATATTCCGCACTATTACACACATATTGTTTGCTATTCACTTGGAGCGCAATTCTTTTTTTTTCTACGAGATTCTATTCTATTTTAAAGTTTAAGAAATTAAAAATGAATTAAAATTCATGTCTATATCGTGATGTGCCATCTCCCGTAGTTTTATATCAGAATATTCGAGAAAGTTTAGGGGAGATCACTCCATTTACGTAAATGTAAATAGAGCTCCATAACTAAAATCCATGCGCACCTAATGAACATAATAACTCGCATATAATAGTGCGGAATCAATGTATAAGACTGCTTACTAATTATGACATAATTTTAGTTAATTCATAAAACATCAACTGGGCATTCAATTAAGTCAAATTTAACGTCCGATTGCATTGTCTTCATGTCTTGACCGACGTGGCAACTTTGAACCAAATCTATCAGTTAGGAGTGCTCGAAATTTCGTTCTGGCGTTTCGATCAAAACAGACCAACGACAGACAGAGAAAGCGATTTAAATAAAAGCTTGTCAAAAATTCAATACAAAATTCATTAAAAATATTTTAATAAGAAGCTTTTATTTATTGATGCACTAAAAAGTAGAAAATAAATTATACACTACTATTTAAATAACAAAGTGCAAATGTTATTTTTCCGACTCACGATGTAAAACGTCGAAATTTCGAATTTTTGCACGATTACAATACTTCCTCGATACTTCGTGTACAAAAAAGTACAAAAAATTAAATAAGTTGTCATTTAAACACCAAACCATTAGCTTTTATAATAAAAACCATCAATTACGAAGTAAAGCGAAATTTTCTACAGTTTGTAAGAGAAAATTTCGCGGCCCTAAAAAGTGGGTCCTTGGGCGCTGCCCTCTAAGCCCCATCTCTTTAATCCGCTATCTAAGTAGCCATGAATTAACCAGACGACTAGATAAGGGATAAAGAGCTGACCACGTGACCAAGAGATCAGATGAATGACTCACATTCTGAGCAGGAGCAGTGAATGGCGGGCAGACAACACATTTATCGTTGCTGGGGTGGACAATCTCTTGTCTAGTGCACGCACTGCAAGTCCAACAACAGGCCACAATTGTCGGACCTTTATATAATCCTAGAGAAACGTACACACATATATATATATATATATATATATATATATATATATATATATATATATATATATACGACGTGCGTATATATTGTAGAGAGGGGAGGGTGAGTTTCAGTGTTTTGTGTTCCGTCAGGATAATGGCATTAACATTAAAATAATAATTAAGTATGCTAATTAACAAAGACCATCAAGTTTTTAAAATTAAAATTTAAGTTTAGGTATAGGATATGGATATGGGACACGGATAGTCGTAGGCTTGGGGTTAGCGTATGGCTAAGGGTACGGATAGAGATGGTGATGGAGAGATAATCTAGGTTATGTAGGCCCCCCCCCCCCTAAACGCCCAACACTCCTGACGTCTCTACTCCCTATCGTCCCCACCAGTGGCGTAGCTAAGGGAGGGTGGGTGGGGTGGCCGCCCCGGGCGCCGACCTTAGCGGGTAGAAAAAAATAAAAAGCTTGTTTAAGGTTCATTACAGTTCAAGTTAAGAAAATAGAAAACTTGGCTAGACGGACATTACTTGCGTGATACTACATACAACTTAAAAATGGTATGGGGTCCATTTTTGCCAAATTGAATATATATTATTATGGGGGGGGAGGGGGGGGAGTTGCGCAAAATTGTTAGTTCGCCAGGGGTTGCTAGGCCTCTGGTCCCAATTCCCCTGACGACCCCGCTCCTCTGACGACCCCCAATCTCACTCCCCTGACGACCTCGTTCCCCTTACGACCTCCGACCACACTCCCCTGGCGATCCCACTTCCCTGACGAACCCACCCCCCTGACAACTCCACTCCCCTGACGACCCCCTCCCCTGGCGATCCCACTTCCCTGACGAACCCACCCCCCTGACAACTCCACTCCCCTGAAGACCACCGACCCCACTTCCCTGACGAACCCCTCCCCTGACGACCCCCTCCCCTGACGACCCCACTCCCCTGACGACCCCCGACCCCACTCCCCTGACGACCCCCTCCCCTGACGACCCCACTCCCCTGACGACCCCACTCCCCTGACGACCTCACTCCCCTGACGACCCCCTCCCCTGAAGACCCCCGACCCCACTCCCCTGACGACCCCACTCCCCTGACGACCCGACTCACCCTTAGCACACGGGTTACTACAGTGTGATCTGATCCTGCCATTGGCAGACAGGGTCAAGTTGTTTAACTTGAAAGGGTTTAAGGTTGTATACTTGAAGTCCTGCGGATCAAACTCGGCTAGTTCCTGTACGATCGGTATATCATCGTCTCCTAAAATTATCTGTACAGTAGGGAGGAACCAGCAACCAGAATAATTGAGTTACATAGATCAACGACTTATGTGACTACTTAACTGTTTACATAGATCAACGTTTTATGTGACTACTTAACTGTTTACATAGATCAACGTTTTATGTGACTACTTAACTGTTTACATAGATCAACGTTTTATGTGACTACTTAACTGTTTACATAGATCAACGTTTTATGTGACAACTGTTTACATAGATCAAAGTTTTATGTGACAACTGTTTACATAGATCAACGTTTTATGTGGCTACTTCACTGTTTACATAGATCAACGTTTTATGTGACAACTGTTTACATAGATCAACGTTTTATGTGACTACTTAACTGTTTACATAGATCAAAGTTTTATATGACTACTTACCTGTTTACATGGATCAACGTTTTATGTGACTACTTAACTGTTTACATAGATCAACGTTTTATGTGACTACTTAACTGTTTACATAGATCAACGTTTTATGTGACTACTGTTTACATAGATCAACGTTTTATGTGACTACTTACCTGTTTACATGGATCAACGTTTTATGTGACTACTTAACTGTTTACATAGATCAACGTTTTATGTGACTACTTAACTGTTTACATAGATCACCGTTTTATGTGACAACTGTTTACATAGATCAACGTTTTATGTGACTACTTAACTGTTTACATAGATCAACGTTTTATGTGACTACTTAACTGTTTACATAGATCAACGTTTTATGTGACTACTTAACTGTTTACATAGATCAAAGTTTTATATGACTACTTAACTGTTTACATAGATCACCGTTTTATGTGACTACTTAACTGTTTACATAGATCAACGTTTTATGTGACTACTTAACTGTTTACATAGATCACCGTTTTATGTGACTACTTAACTGTTTACATAGATCAAAGTTTTATATGACTACTTAACTGTTTACATAGATCAACGTTTTATGTGACTACTTAACTGTTTACATAGATCAACGTTTTATGTGACAACTGTTTACATAGATCACCGTTTTATGTGACAACTGTTTACATAGATCAAAGTTTTATGTGACAACTGTTTACATAGATCAACGTTTTATGTGACTACTTAACTGTTTACATAGATCAACGTTTTATGTGACTACTTAACTGTTTACATAGATCAACGTTTTATATGACTACTTAACTGTTTACATAGATCAACGTTTTATGTGACTACTTAACTGTTTACATAGATCAACGTTTTATGTGACTACTTAACTGTTTACATAGATCAACGTTTTATGTGACTACTTAACTGTTTACATAGATCAACGTTTTATGTGACTACTTAACTGTTTACATAGATCAACGTTTTATGTGAAAACTGTTTACATAGATCAACGTTTTATGTGACTACTTAACTGTTTACATAGATCAACGTTTTATGTCGCTACTTCACTGTTTACATAGATCAACGTTTTATGTGACAACTGTTTACATAGATCAACGTTTTATGTGACTACTTAACTGTTTACATAGATCAACGTTTTATGTGACTACTTAACTGTTTACATAGATCAACGTTTTATGTGACTACTTAACTGTTTACATAGATCAACGTTTTATGTGACTACTTAACTGTTTACATAGATCACCGTTTTATGTGACTACTTAACTGTTTACATAGATCAACGTTTTATGTGACAACTGTTTACATAGATCACCGTTTTATGTGACTACTTAACTGTTTACATAGATCAACGTTTTATGTGACTACTTAACTGTTTACATAGATCAACGTTTTATGTGACTACTTAACTGTTTACATAGATCACCGTTTTATGTGACTACTTAACTGTTTACATAGATCAAAGTTTTATATGACTACTTAACTGTTTACATAGATCAACGTTTTATGTGACAACTGTTTACATAGATCACAGTTTTATGTGACAACTGTTTACATAGATCAAAGTTTTATATGACTACTTAACTGTTTACATAGATCAACGTTTTATGTGACAACTGTTTACATAGATCAAAGTTTTATGTGACAACTGTTTACATAGATCAACGTTTTATGTGACTACTTAACTGTTTACATAGATCAACGTTTTATGTGACTACTTAACTGTTTACATAGATCAACGTTTTATGTGACTACTTAACTGTTTACATAGATCACCGTTTTATGTGACTACTTAACTGTTTACATAGATCAACGTTTTATGTGACAACTGTTTACATAGATCAACGTTTTATGTGACTACTTAACTGTTTACATAGATCAACGTTTTATGTGACTACTTAACTGTTTACATAGATCAACGTTTTATGTGACAACTGTTTACATAGATCAACGTTTTATGTGACTACTTAACTGTTTAAATAGATCAACGTTTTATGTGACAACTGTTTACATAGATCAACGTTTTATGTGACTACTTAACTGTTTACATAGATCAACGTTTTATGTGACTACTTAACTGTTTACATAGATCAACGTTTTATGTGACTACTTAACTGTTTACATAGATCAACGTTTTATGTGACTACTTAACTGTTTACATAGATCAACGTTTTATGTGACAACTGTTTACATAGATCACCGTTTTATGTAACTACTTAACTGTTTACATAGATCAACGTTTTATGTGACAACTGTTTACATAGATCACCGTTTTATGTAACTACTTAACTGTTTACATAGATCAACGTTTTATGTGACTACTTAACTGTTTACATAGATCACCGTTTTATGTGACTACTTACCTGTTTACATAGATCAACGTTTTATGTGACTACTTAACTGTTTACATAGATCAACGTTTTATGTGCCAACTGTTTACATAGATCAACGTTTTATGTGACAACTGTTTACATAGATCAACGTTTTATGTGACTACTTACCTGTTTACATAGATCAACGTTTTATGTGACTACTTAACTGTTTACATAGATCAACGTTTTATGTGACTACTTAACTGTTTACATAGATCACCGTTTTATGTGACTACTTAACTGTTTACATAGATCAACGTTTTATGTGACTACTTAACTGTTTACATAGATCACCGTTTTATGTGACTACTTAACTGTTTACATAGATCAAAGTTTTATATGACTACTTAACTGTTTACATAGATCAACGTTTTATGTGACTACTTAACTGTTTACATAGATCAACGTTTTATGTGACAACTGTTTACATAGATCACCGTTTTATGTGACAACTGTTTACATAGATCAAAGTTTTATGTGACAACTGTTTACATAGATCAACGTTTTATGTGACTACTTAACTGTTTACATAGATCAACGTTTTATGTGACTACTTAACTGTTTACATAGATCAACGTTTTATATGACTACTTAACTGTTTACATAGATCAACGTTTTATGTCACTACTTAACTGTTTACATAGATCAACGTTTTATGTGACTACTTAACTGTTTACATAGATCAACGTTTTATGTGACTACTTAACTGTTTACATAGATCAACGTTTTATGTGACTACTTAACTGTTTACATAGATCAACGTTTTATGTGAAAACTGTTTACATAGATCAACGTTTTATGTGACTACTTAACTGTTTACATAGATCAACGTTTTATGTCGCTACTTCACTGTTTACATAGATCAACGTTTTATGTGACAACTGTTTACATAGATCAACGTTTTATGTGACTACTTAACTGTTTACATAGATCAACGTTTTATGTGACTACTTAACTGTTTACATAGATCAACGTTTTATGTGACTACTTAACTGTTTACATAGATCAACGTTTTATGTGACTACTTAACTGTTTACATAGATCACCGTTTTATGTGACTACTTAACTGTTTACATAGATCAACGTTTTATGTGACAACTGTTTACATAGATCACCGTTTTATGTGACTACTTAACTGTTTACATAGATCAACGTTTTATGTGACTACTTAACTGTTTACATAGATCAACGTTTTATGTGACTACTTAACTGTTTACATAGATCACCGTTTTATGTGACTACTTAACTGTTTACATAGATCAAAGTTTTATATGACTACTTAACTGTTTACATAGATCAACGTTTTATGTGACAACTGTTTACATAGATCACAGTTTTATGTGACAACTGTTTACATAGATCAAAGTTTTATATGACTACTTAACTGTTTACATAGATCAACGTTTTATGTGACAACTGTTTACATAGATCAAAGTTTTATGTGACAACTGTTTACATAGATCAACGTTTTATGTGACTACTTAACTGTTTACATAGATCAACGTTTTATGTGACTACTTAACTGTTTACATAGATCAACGTTTTATGTGACTACTTAACTGTTTACATAGATCACCGTTTTATGTGACTACTTAACTGTTTACATAGATCAACGTTTTATGTGACAACTGTTTACATAGATCACCGTTTTATGTGACTACTTAACTGTTTACATAGATCAACGTTTTATGTGACTACTTAACTGTTTACATAGATCAACGTTTTATGTGACAACTGTTTACATAGATCAACGTTTTATGTGACTACTTAACTGTTTACATAGATCAACGTTTTATGTGACAACTGTTTACATAGATCAACGTTTTATGTGACTACTTAACTGTTTACATAGATCAACGTTTTATGTGACTACTTAACTGTTTACATAGATCAACGTTTTATGTGACTACTTAACTGTTTACATAGATCAACGTTTTATGTGACTACTTAACTGTTTACATAGATCAACGTTTTATGTGACAACTGTTTACATAGATCACCGTTTTATGTAACTACTTAACTGTTTACATAGATCAACGTTTTATGTGACAACTGTTTACATAGATCACCGTTTTATGTAACTACTTAACTGTTTACATAGATCAACGTTTTATGTGACTACTTAACTGTTTACATAGATCACCGTTTTATGTGACTACTTACCTGTTTACATAGATCAACGTTTTATGTGACTACTTAACTGTTTACATAGATCAACGTTTTATGTGCCAACTGTTTACATAGATCAACGTTTTATGTGACAACTGTTTACATAGATCAACGTTTTATGTGACTACTTACCTGTTTACATAGATCAACGTTTTATGTGACTACTTAACTGTTTACATAGATCAACGTTTTATGTGACTACTTAACTGTTTACATAGATCAACGTTTTATGTGACTACTTAACTGTTTACATAGATCAACGTTTTATGTGACTACTTAACTGTTTACATAGATCAACGTTTTATGTGACAACTGTTTACATAGATCACCGTTTTATGTGACTACTTAACTGTTTACATAGATCAACGTTTTATGTGACTACTTAACTGTTTACATAGATCACCGTTTTATGTGACTACTTAACTGTTTACATAGATCAACGTTTTATGTGACTACTTAACTGTTTACATAGATCAACGTTTTATGTGACTACTTAACTGTTTACATAGATCAAAGTTTTATATGACTACTTACCTGTTTACATAGATCAACGTTTTATGTGACTACTTAACTGTTTACATAGATCAACGTTTTATGTGACTACTTAACTGTTTACATAGATCACCGTTTTATGTGACTACTTAACTGTTTACATAGATCAACGTTTTATGTGACTACTTAACTGTTTACATAGATCAACGTTTTATGTGACAACTGTTTACATAGATCACCGTTTTATGTAACTACTTAACTGTTTACATAGATCAACGTTTTATGTGACTACTTAACTGTTTACATAGATCACCGTTTTATGTGACTACTTACCTGTTTACATAGATCAACGTTTTATGTGACTACTTAACTGTTTACATAGATCAACGTTTTATGTGCCAACTGTTTACATAGATCAACGTTTTATGTGACAACTGTTTACATAGATCAACGTTGTATGTGACTACTTACCTGTTTACATAGATCAACGTTTTATGTGACTACTTAACTGTTTACATAGATCAACGTTTTATGTGACTACTTAACTGTTTACATAGATCAACGTTTTATGTGACTACTTAACTGTTTACATAGATTAACGTTTTATGTGACTACTTAACTGTTTACATAGATCAACGTTTTATGTGACTACTTAACTGTTTACATAGATCAACGTTTTATGTGACAACTGTTTACATAGATCACCGTTTTATGTGACTACTTAACTGTTTACATAGATCAACGTTTTATGTGACTACTTAACTGTTTACATAGATCACCGTTTTATGTGACTACTTAACTGTTTACATAGATCAACGTTTTATGTGACTACTTAACTGTTTACATAGATCACCGTTTTATGTAACTACTTAACTGTTTACATAGATCAACGTTTTATGTGACAACTGTTTACATAGATCACCATTTTATGTAACTACTTAACTGTTTACATAGATCAACGTTTTATGTGACTACTTAACTGTTTACATAGATCACCGTTTTATGTGACTACTTACCTGTTTACATAGATCAACGTTTTATGTGACTACTTAACTGTTTACATAGATCAACGTTTTATGTGCCAACTGTTTACATAGATCAACGTTTTATGTGACAACTGTTTACATAGATCAACGTTTTATGTGACTACTTACCTGTTTACATAGATCAACGTTTTATGTGACTACTTAACTGTTTACATAGATCAACGTTTTATGTGACTACTTAACTGTTTACATAGATCAACGTTTTATGTGACTACTTAACTGTTTACATAGATCAACGTTTTATGTGACTACTTAACTGTTTACATAGATCAACGTTTTATGTGACAACTGTTTACATAGATCACCGTTTTATGTGACTACTTAACTGTTTACATAGATCAACGTTTTATGTGACTACTTAACTGTTTACATAGATCACCGTTTTATGTGACTACTTAACTGTTTACATAGATCAACGTTTTATGTGACTACTTAACTGTTTACATAGATCAACGTTTTATGTGACTACTTAACTGTTTACATAGATCAAAGTTTTATATGACTACTTACCTGTTTACATAGATCAACGTTTTATGTGACTACTTAACTGTTTACATAGATCAACGTTTTATGTGACTACTTAACTGTTTACATAGATCACCGTTTTATGTGACTACTTAACTGTTTACATAGATCAACGTTTTATGTGACTACTTAACTGTTTACATAGATCAACGTTTTATGTGACAACTGTTTACATAGATCACCGTTTTATGTAACTACTTAACTGTTTACATAGATCAACGTTTTATGTGACTACTTAACTGTTTACATAGATCACCGTTTTATGTGACTACTTACCTGTTTACATAGATCAACGTTTTATGTGACTACTTAACTGTTTACATAGATCAACGTTTTATGTGCCAACTGTTTACATAGATCAACGTTTTATGTGACAACTGTTTACATAGATCAACGTTGTATGTGACTACTTACCTGTTTACATAGATCAACGTTTTATGTGACTACTTAACTGTTTACATAGATCAACGTTTTATGTGACTACTTAACTGTTTACATAGATCAACGTTTTATGTGACTACTTAACTGTTTACATAGATTAACGTTTTATGTGACTACTTAACTGTTTACATAGATCAACGTTTTATGTGACTACTTAACTGTTTACATAGATCAACGTTTTATGTGACAACTGTTTACATAGATCACCGTTTTATGTGACTACTTAACTGTTTACATAGATCAACGTTTTATGTGACTACTTAACTGTTTACATAGATCACCGTTTTATGTGACTACTTAACTGTTTACATAGATCAACGTTTTATGTGACTACTTAACTGTTTACATAGATCAACGTTTTATGTGACTACTTAACTGTTTACATAGATCAAAGTTTTATATGACTACTTACCTGTTTACATAGATCAACGTTTTATGTGACTACTTAACTGTTTACATAGATCAACGTTTTATGTGACTACTTAACTGTTTACATAGATCACCGTTTTATGTGACTACTTAACTGTTTACATAGATCAACGTTTTATGTGACTACTTAACTGTTTACATAGATCAACGTTTTATGTGACTACTTCACTGTTTACATAGATCAACGTTTTATGTGACTACTTAACTGTTTACATAGATCAACGTTTTATGTGACTACTTAACTGTTTACATAGATCAAAGTTTTATATGACTACTTAACTGTTTACATAGATCACCGTTTTATGTGACTACTTAACTGTTTACATAGATCAACGTTTTATGTGACTACTTAACTGTTTACATAGATCAACGTTTTATGTGACTACTTAACTGTTTACATAGATCAACGTTTTATGTGACAACTGTTTACATAGATCAACGTTTTATGTGACTACTTACCTGTTTACATAGATCAACGTTTTATGTGACTACTTAACTGTTTACATAGATCAACGTTTTATGTGACTACTTAACTGTTTACATAGATCAACGTTTACCTGACTAATGATGACGTTGTTAATTCCGTTTCCGTTTGCGTCAAATGCGATTCTTCCCACATCAGTATACATTAGTGTGGTCATCATCTCCTAGCTCGGGATTACAAGTTTTGATTAGCTCCACCTCAATTACCATTACATGTGTGATTACAAGTTTTGATTAGCTCCACCTCAACTACCATTACATGTGTGATTACAAGTTTTGATTAGCTCCACCTCAACTACCATTACATGTGTGATTACAAGTTTTGATTAGCTCCACCTCAATTACCATTACATGTGTGATTACAAGTTTTGATTAGCTCCACCTCAACTAACATTACATGTGTGATTACAAGTTTTGATTAGCTCCACCTCAACTACCATTACATGTGTGATTACAAGTTTTGATTAGCTCTACCTCAACTACCATTACATGTGTGATTACAAGTTTTGATTAGCTCCACCTCAATTACCATTACATGTGTGATTACAAGTTTTGATTAGCTCCACCTCAATTACCATTACATGTGTGATTACAAGTTTTGATTAGCTCCACCTCAATTACCATTACATGTGTGATTACAAGTTTTGATTAGCTCCACCTCAATTACCATTACATGTGTGATTACAAGTTTTGATTAGGTCCACCTCAACTACCATTACATGTGTGATTACAAGTTTTGATTAGCTCCACCTCAACTACCATTACATGTGTGATTACAAGTTTTGATTAGCTCTACCTAAATTACCATTACATGTGTGATTACAAGTTTTGATTAGCTCCACCTCAACTACCATTACATGTGTGATTACAAGTTTTGATTAGCTCTACCTCAACTACCATTACATGTGTGATTACAAGTTTTGATTAGCTCCACCTCAATTACCATTACATGTGTGATTACAAGTTTTGATTAGCTCTACCTCAACTACCATTACATGTGTGATTACAAGTTTTGATTAGCTCCACCTCAACTACCATTACATGTGTGATTACAAGTTTTGATTAGCTCCACCTCAATTACCATTACATGTGTGATTACAAGTTTTGATTAGCTCCACCTCAATTACCATTACATGTGTGATTACAAGTTTTGATTAGCTCCACCTCAATTACCATTACATGTGTGATTACAAGTTTTGATTAGCTCCACCTCAATTACCATTACATGTGTGATTACAAGTTTTGATTAGCTCCACCTCAACTACCATTACATGTTTGATTACAAGTTTTGATTAGCTCTACCTCAACTACCATTACATGTGTGATTACAAGTTTTGATTTGCTCCACCTCAACTACCATTACATGTGGGATTACAAGTTTTGATTAGCTCTACCTCAACTACCATTACATGTGTGATTACAAGTTTTGATTAGCTCCACCTCAACTACCATTACATGTGGGATTACAAGTTTTGCTTAGTTCTACATCCACCTCAACTACCATTACATGTGTGATTACAAGTTTTGATTAGCTCCACCTCAACTACCATTACATGTGGGATTACAAGTTTTGCTTAGTTCTACATCCACCTCAACTACCATTACATGTGTGATTACAAGTTTTGATTAGTTCTACATCCACCTCAACTACCATTACATGTGGGATTACAAGTTTTGATTAGTTCTACATCCACCTCAACTACCATTACATGTGGGATTACAAGTTTTGCTTAGTTCTACATCCACCTCAACTACCATTACATGTGTGATTACAAGTTTTGATTAGTTCTACATCCACCTCAACTACCATTACATGTGGGATTACAAGTTTTGCTTAGTTCTACATCCACCTCAACTACCATTACATGTGTGATTACAAGTTTTGATTAGCTCTACCTCAACTACCATTACATGTGGGATTACAAGTTTTGCTTAGTTCTACATCCACCTCAACTACCATTACATGTGTGATTACAAGTTTTGATTAGCTCTACCTCAACTACCATTACATGTGGGATTACAAGTTTTGCTTAGTTCTACATCCACCTCAACTACCATTACATATTCAATGGATGAAACTTGTATAACCATGGTCTCAACGGGTGGTTTGTTGGCTAAATGCCCGTATAATGGCACGATAACCCACATGACTTCAGGATAACCCACATAACGTTAGGATGACCCACATAACGTTAGGATGACCCACATAACGTTAGGATGACCCACATAACGTTAGGATGACCCACATAACGTTAGGATGACCCACATAACGTTAGGATGACCCACATAACGTTAGGATGACCCACATAACGTTAGGATGACCCACATAACGTTAGGATGACCCACATAACGTTAGGATGACCCACATAACGTTAGGATGACCCACATAACGTTAGGATAACCCACATGACTTCAGGATGACCCACATAACGTTAGGATGACCCACATAACGTTAGGATGACCCACATAACGTTAGGATGACCCACATAACGTTAGGATGACCCACATAACGTTAGGATGACCCACATAACGTTAGGATGACCCACATAACGTTAGGATGACCCACGTGACTTGAGGATGACCCACATAACGTTAGGATGACCCACATAACGTTAGGATGACCCACATGACTTCAGGATGACCCACATAACGTTAGGATGACCCACATAAAGTTAGGATGACCCACATAACGTTAGGATGACCCACATAACGTTAGGATGACCCACATAACGTTAGGATGACCCACATAACGTTAGGATGACCCACATAACGTAAGGATGACCCACATAACGTTAGGATGACCCACGTGACTTGAGGATGACCCACGTAACTTTAGGATGACCCACATAACGTTAGGATGACCCACATAACGTTAGGATGACCCACATAACGTTAGGATGACCCACATAACGTTAGGATGACCCACATAACGTTAGGATGACCCACATGACTTCAGGATGACCCACATAACGTTAGGATGACCCACATAACGTTAGGATGACCCACATAACGTTAGGATGACCCACATAACGTTAGGATGACCCACATAACGTTAGGATGACCCACATGACTTCAGGATGACCCACATAACGTTAGGATGACCCACATAACGTTAGGATGACCCACATAACGTTAGGATGACCCACATAACGTTAGGATGACCCACATAACGTTAGGATGACCCACATGACTTCAGGATGACCCACATAACGGTAGGATGACCCACATAACGTTAGGATGACCCACATAACGTTAGGATGACCCACATAACGTTAGGATGACCCACATAACGTTAGGATGACCCACATGACTTCAGGATGACCCACATAACCTTAGGATGACCCACATAACGTTAGGATGACCCACATAACGTTAGGATGACCCACATAACGTTAGGATGACCAACATAACGTTAGGATGACCCACATGACTTCAGGATGACCCACATAACGTTAGGATGACCCACATAACGTTAGGATGACCCACATAACGTTAGGATGACCCACATAACGTTAGGATGACCCACATAACGTTAGGATGACCCACATAACGTTAGGATGACCCACATGACTTCAGGATGACCCACATAACGTTAGGATGACCCACATAACGTTAGGATGACTTACATAACGTTAGGATGACCCACATAACGTTAGGATGACCCACATAACGTTAGGATGACCCACATGACGTTAGGATGACCCACATGACTTCAGGATGACCCACATGAAAAGAGATTGACCCTGAGGATGAGATAATGACCCACATGTTACACCGGGGCAGCCTTGTGTTTTACCTTCAGGAGACGCGGGCCAGTTACACATTCGGGTAGCTCTCTCTTGTCTGCAAGCGGGCAATACTTCTTGATAACACGGTCGATTCCAAATGCCACGGCAAACACCGCTCGCTGTGCCACAGAAGCGAAACGGAATGTGTAAGCCCCATGGAGCTCTTCAACATTGTGCTTGAGACACTCTTTATCTAGTCGCTCACAGCGGTTAAGATCCATCCAGTACCTAAATACACGTTATACAAACATCCTATAGTTATCAACATTTTAGATCCAACCAGTACCTAAATACACGTTATACAAACATCCTATAATTATCAACATTTTAGATCCATCCAGTACCTAAATACACGTTATACAAACATCCTATGGTTATCAACATTTTAGATCCAGCCAGTACCTAAATACACGTTATACAAACATCCTATAGTTATCAACATTTTAGATCCAACCAGTACCTAAATACACGTTATACAAACATCCTATGGTTATCAACATTTTAGATCCAGCCAGTACCTAAATACACGCTATACAAACATCCTATAGTTATCAACATTTTAGATCCATCCAGTACCTAAATACACGTTATACAAACATCCTATAGTTATCAACATTTTAGATCCAACCAGTACCTAAATACACGTTATACAAACATCCTATGGTTATCAACATTTTAGATCCAGCCAGTACCTAAATACACGCTATACAAACATCCTATAGTTATCAACATTTTAGATCCATCCAGTACCTAAATGCACGTTATACAAACATCCTATAGTTATCAACATTTTAGATCCATCCAGTACCTAAATACACGTTATACAAACATCCTATAGTTATCAACATTTTAGATCCAACCAGTACCTAAATACACGTTATACAAACATCCTATAGTTATCAACATTTTAGATCCAGCCAGTACCTAAATACACGTTATACAAATATCCTATAGTTATCAACATTTTAGATCCAGCCAGGAATCTATAGAAACAGAGGAACCTATAGAAACAGAGGAACCTATAGAAACAGAGGAACCTACTTTTTGAACCAGGGGTTGGTGTGGGTGTCGGGTCGAAGTGCGGACAAATGCCCGTTGTATCCCTCGGTGGTGTACGTCTTGAAGCCTAGGTAGACACTTCCCACAAACAATCGGACAGAATCCTGGAAAGTTTGGTTCATTCAATAACTCATCTATAGATCATTCAGATAGGCTTTGAGATTACGGGTGGCTCAGACATTTCATTATATCCTAAGTGATTCATGACATTGATTCATGACATTTAAGGTGGGTCATGATATCCACAATAAGTCATCATGACTAGACAATTATCGCAAACAATAACTACATGCAGAGTTTCTTCCAGGCATCTCTTCGGGGGGGGGGGGGGGGGGAGGGCGGAGTCTACCCCCCCCCCCCCCCCCCCGAACGAAATTAAATTTATATAAAACTGTCAACCGGAGAACTTGACTTGAGTTTTTATCTGATCCGCCAGTACTGCACAATCATTACTTAAATAACTTTTTCAACCAAACTTTTTCATTAAACGTAAATAGCAAAGCACAAAATCAAACTAAAATTACTATTCTTCAAAAAAGTATAATTTTATCATGCAAAAATTGTACCAGTTACTTTACTTATCGGGATAGATAACTCGCAAGAAAATAAATTTACATCACAACAAAAATAATAATTACTTTCTTTTAGTATTTGTTGATGTTAGAAAAACAGACGCATATGTCGCCCAATCCACGGACAACATGCGCTAAGACAGAAGCTCTGGACGCCACACCCTTCTGACTTGATTTTATGTACCGTATATAGAGAAAAAACGCAACTTACTGCCCCTCCGAAATTTAATGCAACCCCCCCCCCACCTCCCCGCAAAAACACTCCTCCGATTGTTCTCATCAGACCCTCCAAGTTTTACGGCAATCGGTTGAAGGTGTGGTCAAGGTGTGGTCAAGGTGTGGTCATGGTGTGGTCAAGGTGTGGTCATGGTGTGGTCAAGGTGTGGTCAAGGTGTGGTCAAGGTGTGGTCAAGGTGTGGTCAAGGTGTGGTCATGGTGTGGTCAAGGTGTGGTCAAGGTGTGGTCAAGGTGTGGTCAAGGTGTGGTCAAGGTGTGGTCAAGGTGTGGTCAAGGTGTGGTCAAGGTGTGGTCAAGGTGTGGTCAAGGTGTGGTCATGGTGTGGTCAAGGTGTGGTCAAGGTGTGGTCAAGGTGTGGTCATGGTGTGGTCAAGGTGTGGTCAAGGTGTGGTCATGGTGTGGTCATGGTGTGGTCATGGTGTTGTCAAGGTGTGATCAAGGTGTGGTCAAGGTGTGGTCAATGTGTGGCCATGGTGTGGTCATGGTGTGGTCATGGTGTGGTCAAGGTGTGGTCAAGGTGTGGTCATGGTGTGGTCAAGGTGTGGTCATGGTGTGGTCAATGTGTGGCCATGGTGTGGTCAAGGTGTGGTCATGGTGTGGTCAAGGTGGGGTCAAGGTGTGGTCATGGTGTGGTCAAGGTGTGATCAAGGTGTGGTCAAGTTGTTGTCAAGGTGTGGTCATGCATAAAGGACGAAGCCACATACTTTAGTTGTTATTTATTTAGAAAGTGATCCGCGCTTTTCTTAATAGTTATTTAAATAGTGGTGCATTGTTATTTATTTATGGAAAATATTTTCAGTGTAGGGCTGTTAAGTAGTTCACCAACCTGTTATATGGCTCATGCAGGTTTTATTGAGCCGTATAACTGGTTGGTGACCTACTTACCAGCCCTATGGTCTAACTCAGTGTGTGAGGAGATAGGTCCACGGTATATATTTATTGGTAGTATGATTGTAGGTCATCAAAAGAAAAACATTGTTTCTTCTGTCACGAGCATCTTCAAAAAAAAAACATGATCAATGGGTAAATAAACCGGGAGTGATCTCCCATAAACTTCATCGAATATTCTTATATGAAACAACAGGGAATGGCAACTCGGGATATAGACATGACTTTTAATCCATTTTAAATACTTAAACTTTTTACAATAGAATAAAATCTCGTAGAAAACAGAATTGCACACCAAGTGAATGTCATATAAAATGTGCAAAATAGTGCGGAATATTATTAGTATTTTATAAATTCACTTTATAAATTCACATGCGTTTTTTGAGAAATCGGAAATAGCGAAAAAATTTTCTTCCGGTCAACGGAAATTATTCAAAATTTGACGTAAGGCACAGAATTAGATATTTTACTTACATGTGAAATTTCATTTATGCATCTGAAATAGTACTCAAGTTATAGGCTTTTGAAAAATTCAAAGTAGAAAAAGTTCCACTTCCGGTTATCGGAATTCGCTCATAAGTTGACACGGATCTACGATTTTGATATAATACTTATATATGAAATTTCATCAACCTAGCTCAAGTTATCGTGTTTACACACACACACACACAGACATATGGACAGAATTGGATAATCCAGTTTTTCCGACTCCATTACGCATAAAACGCCAAAATTTTGATATATCTGGATTTATAATTTTTGCCCGATTAAAATAAGTCCTCTACATCCCGGATATGATGAAGGACTGAGGTAAAACGGTGAAAACTGTCCAGAATTAATGTGATTTTTGTGCACGATTACAAGACTTTCTCTATACTTCGTATATACGAGAAAGTAAAAACATGATCACTGGGTAAAACAAATTATCACAATTTTAAAATGTGTTACACTTTGATGTATAGAGTATTTGAATGAATTTTTGTTGGTTCATAGACAAGTGTTTGGTTCAGTAGTTGGGGTTAGGAATTGCGTGTGGTTGGTAGGTTGGTAGGTTGGATAAAATGGAGGCGTATAAGCCAAAAGTGGTCCTACGACTTATTTGTCGGGAGCCAATATGTCGCGAGTCAATAAGACGTAAGTCCGTTTGACGAAAGTCGATGTGTTGAAACCTTTTTGTCGGTGCTATTTTGACAGGGTCGTTTTCTAGGAGGTCGATTTGTCTTTGTCGTTTTGAGGTGATGCGTTTTTGTGTGTGGGTTTAGTTTGGTATCGTTTTAACGGTGTACCAGTCAGTCGAGAACTTGAAATCTAGCAGGAAAACCTCGTGACCTCTGTGTACTCGAGTTTGTGTAATCTTAGTTTGTGTTGAATTGTGTAGTTTATTTAGAAGAGACTTTGTGTGGATAGCCGTTAAACTTTTAATATTTTGCATTTTGCAGTTCTAACGAGGCTTTTATTTAGTCTTGTGTCTTGTAACCCGTTGTTTGTCTTGTGTGAGCACTGTCTGTCTGTGTGTTTGTCTTGTGTGAGCACTATATGTCTGTGTGTTTGTCTTGTGTGAGCACTGTTTGTCTGTGTGTTTGTCTTGTGTGAGCACTGTCTGTCTGTGTGTTTGTCTTGTGTGAGCACTGTCTGTCTGTGTGTTTGTCTTGTGTGAGCACTGTCTGTCTGTGTGTTTGTCTTGTGTGAGCACTGTCTGTCTGTGTGTTTGTCTTGTGTGAGCACTGTCTGTCTGTGTGTTTGTCTTGTGTGAGCACTGTCTGTGTGTGAGTTCACAACACTTATCTACTCACGTAGTCATTGTAGTTAAACAAATCCAAGACCCGGTTTAGGAATGGCTCGTTCATGACCCACACAAGCCAGCCTGCCTCTTTCGACTGAATAATGCTCGCTACCAAGGCGTGCGCCGAGTACTCTTCTAAGAAGGTCAGGACGACCCGAGAATTACCTAAGATCTTTACATCCTGGGCAGATAAAAGTTAAGCTTGTAAAATTAAATCAACTCAATATATATATATATATATATATATATATATATATATATATATATATATATATATATATATATATATATATATATATATACTTTACCAATTGTCTACATTGTCCTCTCAACTTAAGCTAAAAATACCTATAACTATCTTAACTTTCTGGTTTTTCAAACTTTTTTTTTACTACTTCCCTCTTATCTTCGAGATTTTGTCTGCTGTGGTAAGACATAGGTCGAAACTGGTGAACAACATTTTCAACACATTGATTGATGTACTTAAATCTTGACGCGTAACTTTATTGTGTAAACAAAATACACTAACCCGTAGTAGGGCACATAAAAACCACATAATCAACATCCCACTACACCAACACACCACTACACCACTAGACCACTAGACCACTAAACATCTACACCACCATACCACCCCACCACTACACCACTCCACTACACCATTACAACACTACATCAATACACCACCCCACCTCTACACCACTACACGACTAAACCACTAGACTACTAGACCACCCTACCACTACACCACTACACCACTACTACCGTCAGTGTGGATCGAAACGCCGGAGCGAAATTGCAGGCACTTCTACTTGACAGATACGGTTTTTAATTTGTACGTGGGTTAAGACATGAAGACAATGCATCGTGATATAACATCTGACTTAATTGGATGCCTAATTAATTTTTTTAATTAATTTTTTATGAATGAATTAAAATTTTGACCAAATTAGTAGGCATTTCTATCCAACCACACCACACGCGTCAACACGTTCAATAGCGCGTCATCACGTTCATTAGGCGCGTAATGGTTTTTAGCATGAAACTATTGTAAGTCAAAACATGTAAAGTACTAAAAACAAACCGGGAGTGACCTCCACTAAACTTTCTCGAATATTCTAATATAACGCTCCGGGGGATGGCAACTCGGGACATGGACAATATTTGTAATCCATTTTTAATTACTTAAACTTTTTGAAATAGATAAGAATCTCGTAAAAAAAAGAATTGCACACCAAGTGAACGCCAAATAAAATGTGCATAATAGGGCGGGATATTATTAGTACTTTAAGATTTTTGAGAAATCGGAAATAGTGTAAATTACTACTTCAGGTCAACGGAAATTACTCAAAATTTGTTAGAAGGCAGAGAATTAGAATTTTTACTTACATGTGAAATTTCATTTAACTATCTTAAATAGTACTCAAGTAATAGGCTTTTGAAAAATTTAAAGTATAAAAAGTACCACTTCCCGTTATCGGAAATCGCTCAAAAGTTGATACGGATCTACGATTTTGATATAATACTTATATATAAAATTTCATCAACCTAGCTGTTTACACACACACACAGACACACAGGCACACATACACACAGACATACGGACAAGATTGCAAAACTATGTTTTTCCGACTCAGGGAGCCCTAAAACGTCGAGATTTGTAAAAATCTCAATTTTGTTTGGCACGATTACAAGACTTTCTCTATACTTCGTATATTAGAGAAAGTAAAAATGTCATAAAAAACGTTTTAATAACAAGCTTTTATGTACTAATGCACTAAAAATTTAAATAACTAGAACGAAAAGCGTGGGTCTCTTCCTAAACATTAGTGAAGGTATCCAATAGATATTAAAGTGACCCAAGCTTTTTAAAAATAGTTATTTAAATAGTAGTCTATAATTTATTGTCTACTTTTTAGTGCATTAGTACATAAACGAGAAAAATGGCCCGTTGAGGAAGGATACAACGGGCGCTAGGTTGATAGTGTTGTCTATTTTCTCGGTACTTTGATTTATACAAAATATAGTCATAGGCATATCCCTAAACCATGCGACAAAAGTCGCATTTAGAGATTCTTTCAGGCAACTCTACTTGGGAGGAGGGGGCTTCGCCCCCCCCCCCCCCCCCCCACACACACACACTCCAAAACATGTCTACCGTCCCATTCATCGAAATATAATTATATACTTTTTCCAGTGTCCGCCCCCTCCCAGAAAATTCTACCCCGCCCCCGAAAATTTCAAGTACCCCCACCCCTCTCCGGGGAGGAAAAAGTCTGAAAGAAACACTGGTCGCATTTGTAGATTGAAGTGGATTGTTATCTTAGACAGATGATACAACATTCGAGAAAGCCATTTTTATGTACCTTGTTTATTGTGTATCGGAAACGGAACAATACATGCAAGGGACATCACTCAAACATTATAAGACTAATAAAGAAGAATGAGCTCCCCTCAATATAAAGCTCAATATATTACATCCCTTTACCCTTAGTAAATAATAACATAGCTTTCAAGAGAATAAATGATAGTATCCTAAAATCACCTTGCTATTTCCTTCTTTAGTTTAAAACATTAGAATTGCCAAGCAATAATAAAAGAAAGATTGAATAATGATCACCCTTCAATTAATAACACTTCAAAAGTCAATACAAAACATTATATGCATTCCTTACGAAATGTTAAACAATGTAATAAATCACTAAATATATTGTAATATGAACATTATATGATTTGAATCATTTGGTAGATTAAATCCTTACAAACAAATGCAAAATATGCCACAACATAATTAATATACAAAACAATGATGTCAAAGTCCTCTTAACCTTTAAAATCAAAGGTCTAACTTATCTGGGACTTTGATTGTCCTGTTTGACCTTCTCAGTGGCTGTTGATTTGGTGACTCAAGATTCTGACCATCTGGACTCTCTAGCTCAGGAAGTCCAGGATCTAAATCATTAATTCCAGAATTTACATTTTCTGACTCTAGTGTACTTGGTTCACTCATATCAACAGAACTTGGTTGTGGAACAAGCTGAGTTGGTGTGAACTGTTCAGATTTGGTGGGATTGATAGATTCACACTTATTATCTGCACAAGTTATTTTTAACTGGTCTGCATGTCTACGGACAATAAGTCCATTATTTGTTTTTACTTTATAAGACACAGGTCCTGTACATTGAACAATTTGACCTGGCATCCATTTTTCCTCTCTCCCATAATTTCTCAGATACACATTATCATTAACCCCAAATTCTCTCTCAATGGATGTTTTGTCATGATTTACTTTTTGTGTATGTTGATGTTGGGAAACAGACCTTTGAACAGTTGGATGTAGTAGGTCAAGGTGAGTTTTAATTTTCCTACCACACAGCAATTCGCATGGTGCAACACCTGTTGTTATATGAGGAGTTGTGCGGTATTTGGCTAAGAATCTGTTTACTCTTTCCCTGAGAGAAATTTTGTTACCGGTACTCATTTTTACCATAGCGGTTTTGAATATGCCTACCGCTCTTTCAGCCAAACCATTCCCAGCAGGGTGATAGGGTGATGTGGTTATATGCTCAATACCATTTGCTACACAAAACAGTTTAAACTCATGAGCAGTGAAACTAGGCCCATTATCTGAAACAATTTGATCAGGTAACCCATGAAATGAAAATATTTCCTTAAGTTCTATAATGGTATCACTTGCAGTGATTGTGTTCATGATTTTAACTTCTAACCACTTAGAATGTGAATTAATAACAATTAAGAACATTTTGTTCATGAAGGGTCCTGCAAAATCTACATGGATACGTTTCCATGGTTCGATTGGCCAATCCTAGTTTTGCAAAGGTGCTGTAGCTTGTTGATTTGAATGTTGTGTACAGCTTGAACAAAGCTTTACATATTTTTCAATATCAGCATCCATATGTGGCCACCAGAACCACGATCGTGCAAGACTCTTCATTTTGGAAGAACCAAGATGAGTATCATGTAAAGTTCTTAAAACTTCTTTTTGTAACATTTTAGGGATAATAACCCTTGGCCCCCATAGCACACATCCATCTTCTAGACTTAACTCTTTTTTTCTTATTTTATATGGCCTTAAATCATCATTCACTGACTCTTCAGGCCAACCATTCTTACAAACTCATATACTTTTATCAAGCACTCATCTTTTTGTGTTTCTCTCTTAACATCATTCACATTTATATTGGAGTTTTCCATGATAGTGAAAAGAACAAATACATCTTCTGGTACATAACTAAGGCTTTGGTTTTTTAAAGGTAAACGACTAAGACTATCTGCACTATTCTCAGATCCAGGTTTGTATTTCAATTCATAATTGTATGCGGCTAGTGTGATAGCCCACCTTTGAACCCTTGGTGAGGCATGCTCAGGCAGGGGTTTGTTTACTCCAAATAAACTCAGCAATGGCTTATGATCTGTAAAGATGGTGAACTCCCTACCAAACAGAAACTTGTGAAATTTCTTAACACCAAAAATGATTCTCTAACTGAGAATAATTTTTCTCAGCCTGGTTCAAAGATCTCCTGGCAAAAGCAATGGGTCTGTCACCATTTTCATCTATGTGGGATAAAACTGCTCCTACACCATCTGGTGAAGCATCACATGTTAAGATAAGTCTTTTCCCTGGGTCATAGTGAGTTAGCAAGGTGTCAGAAGACAAAGCTTCTTTTGCTGCATTAAAAGCAGCATCTTGTTGTTTACCCCAGTGCCAAGTTGCATTTTTCTGCAGCAGCTTGTACAGTGGTGATAGTTTATCAGACAGATTCCCTATGAACTTCGCATAGTAATTTATCAAGCCCAAAAAAGCTCTTAGCTGTTGGGTATTTTCAGGTTTGGGTGCTTCTTTAATGGCTTTTGTTTTCTCAGGTTGAGGTTTGAGACCCTGCTTGCTCAAACTATAACCCAGAAAACTAATATCTGTCAGCATGAATTGACATTTATCTTTGTTTATCTTTAAACCCTTTTCACCAACTATTTTCAAGACTTTATCAAGTGTTTTAAGATGTTCAGTGTCATTCTTACCAGTTATGTATACATTGTCAAAGTAAACACAAACATTTGGAATGTCCTGAAAAATACTGTCCATGACAGCCTGGAAAATTCCAGGGCTAGATGATATACCAAAACATAGTCTTTCATATTGGTAGAGTCCCTTATGTGTGT